CACGTGCAGAGGGGCTCCGGTCCCACGCGCTGGGCGCTGGGCTGCCCAGAACCGCCCTCGCGGTCGAGGCCTTGCCGGGCGGCGGGTCTGAGCCGGAACCGCTGCGCCCGCAGCCCGCGCCCCGTCGCCGTGCACGCAGGGGACCTGGTCGCCCAACTTTTTGTCAGGACCGGGACCGCGCTCGCTCCCGCCCTGGCCGAGATGGGGCGGGCCGGGCCCTGCAGGGAGCGGGCGGATGCATCGCTCTCCGCAGAGCTGGAGGGGTCGTCCGCGGGGCAAAGGGCCTGGAGCGCAGGTAGCCGCCCCTGGGATGTGTCTTCCTCCCTGGGTTCGCGGCCCTGGCCGGGCCCTCTGCCCCGTGATGTCCCACGGGGTCTGTGGCTCTGTCAGGGCGAGTTCCCGAGTGTGCGTGGAGGCCCGGGAGGCTGGCGAGCCGGGCCTCCTGCCTTCCCTGCTGTCTGGGGTAGGGGCGCACAGCGGGGAGCTTCTCACTTTTAGGAAAGCCGGCCAGGTCTCTCCAGCACTCCTCAGCGCCCCCAAACAGCCCCTCACCACTCGGGGGGAGATCTTTCCTGGGCTAGGAAGTTGTCCCTGAGCCACGCCTGCTGGTGGGGGACCCCACTCCCCCGCAGCACATCACCTGGTCCTAGGGTCCTAGCCAGAGAGGCAGGAAGAGGAGAAGCCTCCTGCTGGCCAAGTCTTAGGAGCCCCGGAGGCTTCTGGAGCTGCCCCCTCTGGGCAGGGGCAAGACGATTCGGGGTCCCAACTTCTGCTGGACACTCCTTAAAGCCCAATTCCTGATGTCTGGTGGTGCCAGTCGAGGGCCTGTGTCCTGCCCCTCTCCCACGCACATGGAGTTGCGGTGGGCACGGGGAAGGTTTCCCCCCTTCCACATTCAGGCTTGGAAAGAGCAGACGCCACTTTGGCTAGGAGGGCCTTTTTGTGCTACTGGGGATGTGGTGGTGCATGTGTGTGTACACGCATGCACATGTGTGTGCACGAGTGTGCCTGCATTTGCTGGGCGTGGAAGGCATGGTGCAGGGCAGGGGGAGTCTGGCCCCTTGTGTCCCCTGGTGGGAGCCTGCAGACTGCACTCCTTCCTGCCTGGGGACACCCACGGAGCAGTGCACCTCCTTCGGGCCGCCCATGCCCTGGGGAGCTGTGGGTGCCTCTGGGGCTGATAGGCTGCACCCTGACCTGGGGCCCCAGAACGCTGACAGGGTGTCAGGCCCACTGGCCCCACATGTTCCTGTGCAGGCGAAGACACCCAGGCTCCAGGTGACTGCCCGGCACACGGCTTGGATGGCGGCTCCAGCCGCAGTGCCCTTCCCCCTGCTCCTGTGTCCTGCTCCCTGTCTCTCTGCCCCTCCCAAGCTGGACAGCACCCGCGCTCTCTGTGGCCCTAACTGTTCTGTCTTGTCCCAGCTGTCCAGAGCAAGGTAGCGGCCCAAGAAGGCCGTGACCCAGCTGTGATCCAGGGGGCTGGCAGGCTCTGTAGGGGGCCAGAGCCAGTGGCCCCTGCCCCTCGCTCTTGCCCTCTCCCAGCTCCAGCAGGGGGCGGACAGGAGAAAGAAAAGCAGGGAGCAGAGCACTGGGGCCACTTGTTGTCCAGGAGCAGGGTGGAGGGAGGCTGGGAGGGGTAGGGGGCGAGGCCCTGGGGTGGCCCTTGGTCCCCAGCAGCATGGCCGTGGCAGTCCTTCCATGAGAGGAAGGCTTGGTGGCCCCAGTGCCAGCCTCCTCTCACTGCCGCTGCGTGTGGCTTGGTGGGTAGGCTGCACTGGGCATAGCTGGCGTCTCCCCACAGAATAAGGCTGCTGCCCCAGGGAACACCAGGAGACTCGCCATCAGGCGGGTGACCCCCGGGCAACGCGTGTCCCTGCAGGAGGACCTCTCAAGGCTCTGGGAGGAGGTGGCCCCGCCCCTGCACCTGGAGGAGAACTGGAGAGTGACAGGTGTGTGCCCTGGGCCCGGCCCCTCCTTGGCACAGCCCAGCTGCCCTGTCTCAGCCTTCCTTGGCCCCGTCCTGTGCCCTCACCCCGTGCCCCCGCCCTGTGCTGGCTCTAGCGCTTCTCTGCCTCTGAGCCTCCCCGCATGCCCTTCTTCTGCCTTGCGCCCTGTTTGGAAGACTCCACCCTCCTGTCTTCCTCCACCTGGCCCAGCCTGTCCTCCTCCACCTGGTGCAGCCTCGAGGGTGGGCGGTTTCCTCGCCAGCTTCTGCGCCTGCCTGGCTGCAGCTCCCGGGCTGGCCTGGGGACCCTCGGTGGCGACTGCCTGCAGCGGCAGCGGGAGGCACTCAATAAAGCTTTGTGGTGTGAGTCGTGTGTGCAGTGTGCACTTACTGAAGGCCCTGCTTTCGGGAGGATTTCAAGCCGCGTCGTCCCGCCCCTTTGCACACCTGCAGCCATGAACAAGGCAGGGCATGTTGGCAGGCCGGGCTGAGTGAGGTCATGCAGGACCTGTGCTGTGTCCCCTTCAAATATGGCGTCTTGTGAACACGCCTGTCACCTGGCCACAAGGCCAATCCAGTCCCCATCCTGGGCCGCAGGGCTCCTCCCAGGGCCTGGGCCCTCTTCCCCCACAGGTATGTTTACAGTTCTCCTCCGGCCGGGGCGACTTCTTCCATCCACACGGCCCTCCTGCGGCTTCAGGTGGCCACTTTGCGGGGTGGGTGGGGTGCCGCAGGCTCAGAGGTCTGGTTGAGTATGGTGGCCACCCCTGCCAGAGTTGGAGACGGATAGGGCACACACAGGCCTGGGCTGGGGTGGGCTGGGGTGGGCTGGGCAGCCTGGGAGCTGGGCCAGCAGAGCTTGTCGGGCCGCGGGGCCTGGATGCGGCGGGGTGTTTGGCAGCGTTTGGGGTTGGAGGAATCTGAGGTTCCTGGCCAGGGGAGGATGAGGCCTGGGAAGGGCGCAGCGCCTCGGTGGCCGGTGTGCGGCCCTGGGCGCGGCAGAGCATCTTTCCGGCCCTTCCCCTGCTGCTGCTCCACCGCTCCAGAAGGTCCGGGAGGTCCTGGGAGATGCTGCCTCGCTGCTCTGGCCTGGGGGCGCCCAGTGGGGGACAGAAGGCCCCGCACGAGTCCCACCATTCCTCACGCCCTCCTCTTCGGTGCCCAGCATGGCCCTTGCTGCCTCAGCTCCAGGCCCTGCTCACCTGGGCTCAGACAGGGCTCTGACTTGTTCCTGACACGGCAGAGGGCACAGCGGAGCCCCACACGCTCTGGTGCTCCCCGGGCCCCCCAGGGGCATCCTTGTTGGTACAGGGAAGCTGGGCTACTCAGGGCGAAGACACACCCTGGCCCGAGCCCTGGGGCTGGCTCGAGGCCCCCTGGGTCAGCCCCTCCTTTCTACCTCTGCGGACAGCGGCAGGTCTGCCCAGCCAGCAGGTGTACATCCCAAGGCGCCCCTCTGTTTTCAGTCGGCCCGACAGGAATGCGTGTGTCGCCTTAATGTGGCAGATGAGCAAGTACATGCATGTGTCTGTGTGTGTGTGTGTGTGTGTGTGTGTGTGTGTGTGCGCGCGCGCATGCGTGTGTGTTCATACCACCCAGCCGTATTCCCAAGGACAGGGCAGGTTCCTTCCTGAAAGCGTTGGAACCCTGGAAGGTGTCTCAGGCGGGCTGAGAATGTAGGGGACGGAGGATGCCACACCATGTTCCTCTGGCTGTGGAGCAGGTGTAGATTTCACCTGGACATCCTGCTGGTCATCTCGCTGGGTACTGCTCGTAGTGTCCACGGAAGAAAAGCAGGCCAGGTCATGGAGTCCCATGCGTGACGGCCTGGCCATTCTGGTCTTCGGGGACGGAGGGTCACTGAGGCACAGGTGCCAGGGAGGGGAGAGTCAGTGAGGCCAGGTGCAGGACGCCTGGGTGGGGAGATCCCAGCGAGAAGCGGGCCCTTAGCTCAGAGGTGACCTGTGAGGGTGTGCCACTGTGTGCTCTGTACCTGGGCTGCCTCCTGGGGACAGGTGTGCTCCACAACCTGGTGGCCCTTGGGAGCCTCTGCCACCTCAGGCTTGGATCCTGCAAGTCTCCTGGGTGGTTCTGGGCACACGGAATGGCACAGGCACGTTTTCTGCTCCAGGGAGTCTCCTGCAGCCTGGCCAGGCCTTGGGGAGGCTGAGGTGCTCAAGGTGGGGCGCATAGGACACAGCTCCGGAGGTGGCCAAAGGCAGAGGGACCGGCTGTGTCCTTGGAGCTCTCTGCTTTGCCTTCGGGGTCCCAGGCAAAGGTCTGCAGTCCCCACTCTTCAGCAGAACCAGGCGCTTGGCCCCTGGGTGCACAAAGGCTCCTGGTCAAGTGCAGGACTTTGGAGCAGGCGGGGCACAGCAAGAGCGGGGCTGGAGGGGGCACAGCCTGCCACCCCTGCCTCTGCCCGGCACAGCTGCGTGGTAGCCACCTTGAGCTGTACCGTCTGTCACAGCTGAATGGCTGGGACAGGACGTACGAGCCCCTCACAGCCCGAGCAGGAGCGGGGGTCACACACGCACCTGGCCACCTTAGGGCCCCTGCTCTGGGCTTTGCAGGTACTCATATCCAGGGTCCACCTGCTTGGTCCACTCCTCCCAGGAGGCCCTGCTGGGGCCCTGTCAGGTCGGGAGGCCAGCGGCTTCCCCCTTGCCGCAGCCCGTCTCTGTGAGGTGCACGGGCCGGGTGTTAAGACTGGCTAGGGCGCACCTGTTGGAAACAGTCTCCTGACTTACACTGAGGCGGCTTCCTCGGCTGCAGGGGAGCAGCACCCTCAGACAGAGATGCCACCGCCACTCCCTGCAGGCTGCCAGGGCCCCGCCCCTCCTGGCTCCGCAGGCGCTGACGTGTGTGCCTTCTGTCGCTCCAGGTAGAGCTCCGCCCGCCCATCCTGGCCACCTCCAGCTGGGATGGCACGATTCCCACGGCACGGACCAGGTTGGCAGCTGGGAGAGGGTCCAATCACTTTGCGTTGGACCTGGGACCCAGAGACAGGTCCGAACTCACCGGAACTGAGCAGATCTGAACGGGGGGGAGGGAGAGACAGGTGCTGGGGGCACACATGCTCCCGAAGGGTCCACGACACTCCTCTGAGGATGGTGACCATCCTTCAGCTGCCCAGTCCTAACACTCGGTCACCTTGTGTGTCACACTTCACCTGTTCACAGGGCAGAGACTTATTGCTCCCAATTTACAGATGACAAAGCTGAGGTCTTTTAGAGAAGTTTCTTATCTTTAGAGAAGTGGGCCCAAGGAGGGAGGTTAGGGAGGTGGTGTCCTACCTGGAGGCCATGGTCTGTTGACTTCACTTTTGGGATTTCAAGTGTGGGTGGCAGTGGTGGAGGCTCGGAGGTGGCTGCTGACAGGCAGAAGGGAGAGGGGCCAGAGGGCTGAAGTCCACATCGCCTCCGCTTCGGGGAGAAGCTAGCTGTACCTCTGCACGGAGCAGGCGGAGGCCCGGAGCCTGTGACAGCCCTGGGGCCAAGGCGGCAGGTTCAAGGCCACAGGCACTGCCTGGTGTGGAACCAGCTGGTCATTGGCAGTCGCTTCAGGGCAAACACGTTGTGGGTGGCATTTCCAGGGCTCCTGGGCTGTGCCAGGGAACAAACTCCACTTGGGGCCACTGCATCCGAGGAATGGGGGGTTCTCACAGGCCTGGGTTCGGGTCCCGGCTCTGCTGCCCAGAGGCTGTGTGGCCTTGGGCGTGTTCCGGAGCCTCTCTGGGCTGCAGTCTGCTCGCTGACAGAGGAGGGCAATGGTCCCTGCCTTGCTGGGCTTCCAGGAGCTCAGGTGGCAGCGGCTCTGGGTTCGATGGCTTTTCCTTTGCAGCGTCTGTGGAGGAGAGCGCAGGGGAGAGTTAGCTTTAGTCCTACAGGGAGGGGATGTGAGTGGGGTGGCAGAGTCCTCCCTTTGCTCTGCCGCCCCTCGGTGTTGGGCTGCGGAAACCCTTCACCCAAACGCCTTCTCCCGGGTCAGAGGACTTGGCTACCTGTAACCCTTGAGGCAGCGTCACCCGAGACTGAGGGCTCTGCCCGTCGTCTGCCCCACAGCGCATACACAGCAGCAAGCACCTGATAGCTGTGTGTAGCGGCCCATGCCTGTCATTCACAACACCCCGGGAGGCCAAGGCAGGAGGATCGAAAGTTCAAGCCCAGCCTGGGTGACTGAGTAAGACTCTGTCTCAAGATTCAAAAGAGGCTGAGGATGCAGCTCAGTATGAAGGCTCTGGGCACAGTTTCCAGTGCTGCCAAAAACAAAACAAAAACCACAAAGAAACAAATAAGCACTTGCTTCTGGGAGGGGAGCGCCCCGGGGACGCAGAAGGAGCGTAGGTTAAGGCCGGCGGGCAGACCTAGGACCGTTCCTGCAAGCTGTGATGGGGTCAGAAGCAGGACTTGAACCTGGGGCTTCTGACAGTAGTTGGTGACATCCTCATTGCCCAGCACATGGGTGTCTGGCCCACAGGAGCTGCTCTGAGCTGGCCCTGGACCCAGACCTGCCTTCTGGGGAGGGTGTGATTCTGGAGCACATCATTGCTTGTACTGGCCACACACTAGGCTGGGTATCCACAGTACTTCGCAGCAGCTGGGGGGGCCCCTTGTGCCATGGTCCCAGCCTCCTACATGGCCCTGCTCCTGCCCCTGGGCTCTGGGTCCTCCCTGACACAGTGGAGCCTGGATCCAGGGTTTATAGCTGGGGGAGAGCAGAGGTTGGCAGGTCCAACCCCCACCCATGTTTCCCTTCCAGCGCCCTCCTCGGAGGTTGGGGCTGAGAAGAGCAGTCCTGTGGCCTCTCGCTGGGAACCCGTGAGCCCCACAACTCCCCAGACGGGGTGGGCATGCAGGCCTCCTGCCTCCCTTCCCTGCTGTTTGGGGTGGGAGTG